AGCCCCGCCTCGGCCGGGACCGCCAGCCCAGCTCCGCCTCGGCCGGGACCGCCAGCCCAGCCCCGCCAGCCCCGCCTCGGCCGGGACCGGCAGCGAGAGCTTCAGCGCGGATCTAAATAAATGGCTCCGGCTACCTCTTTCACACAAAGTCCTTCTACAAAAGCCCTTGCCTGTTTATACTCTCTACATACTACGATTGCTTACCTTTGTAATTCTGGCACCGTTTCCACATTGTGGGCATACACATCCAGCCCCGACAACGCTACTTTCTCCACAGCTTTAAGGTCCCCTCGAAAATCGGGAGTTAGGCATTCTACCAGAATTTTTGAATTCCTGAAAAGGAGAGACCGCAAATGAGCACATCTTTGGGGTTTGTGTCACTGCTGCTAAAAAACTCAACAGAGCAGAAACCCAAACTAACTAACTAAATGATGCTCTGATAAGCAACGCAAAGTATATCAGGACACGCTTCTAAAACAACAGATTTCTGCAAATACTTGTATTGCAATTCAAACAAAATGTCATGTGTTTAATTCCCGATTTTACTGACGTGAGCTGAAATAGAATGAAAGCCAGATAATAAATATAAAAGCGATTCCAACAGTCTCTTAATCACATTCACTGTTTATACGTGATTTTTCATGTGTCTCTGTTGCACGTTAACTTAACGTGAGCTTAATATCGTAGCTCCAAAATGCAGAGGAGCTATAATCCTGCCCACTGGGATAAGAAGACTCTGCATTATTGCCCTGGAATCTAATCTTGGTGTCCAGGAGTCAGAATTCCGCTCAGAGAGGCAGGTGGGAAAAACTGCAGGGACCTTTTGAGTCCCAGGATACCCTGGATAAAGACTTAAATGAGGTTATACAAATTAAATCTGCAGGTAGACAAGTGTGCTATCAAATGGCGGTACAGGACACCGATGCAGAGTGAAGAAGGCATGGCTAGGGAAAGTAGGAAGGTACAATCACAGAGTTAGAAACAGCCATTGTGGGAAAACACAAAGCAATCTGATCACTGCTGAAAGAGAAACGCCACTTCTTTTGTAGTGTGGTGACGCCGTTATCTAAATCCAGTGTTTGAGCCCTAAACTTCAAGAATGAACATACCTCAGAAGCATGTACTCATCTCCTGGTAAACCAGCTGCATGGTCAAAGAAATAATCCAGTGCTTAGCTTTAAATAAGCCTGGGCTAAATTGGAAATGCATCCAAACTCAGAATACTTTGGGGCCATTATATGAGAAAGATGAAAAACAGGAAAAAAAAAGGGACACACGTAGGCTAAAGGCAGACTTTTGTATTTGCATGGCCCCTGGAATAATCCAGCTAAAGGTAGTTTTGACCTATATGCAGTACCACATTCTAAAGTTTTATAATAATACTTTAATGAGATACCTTTCTTTCAGATGAGAGACTGTCTTTGCAAAGTGTTCTGCTCCGCCGTCAGGCATATCTAGAAGCATTTCAATTATTCAATTAACTTTTCAGTTCAAGAAATGTATTTACTTATCAGCAAAGCCATAAAAAACCTAGAGAGTCAAATTTAAATGCAAACTAACAAAGCAGTCAAACCCCAGTCTTATCTTGCCGCTTATGCCAAAGGTTTACAACAGATACTCTACCAAGCCTTGTTCTGCACAAAGTCTAACTGCGATCATCTAGGGCAGACTTCAAATGTTCACTCCAAATTTACCTGTCTCTAGGTTCACTGTCAGCCTGAGCACAGAATGGCTTTATCTATTTACGGTTTTGGTCTGAGAAACAGTTCTACAAAAATTTAAATGTATATGTTATTGCTCTTCTATTGCAAGCCACTTTGAAGCTACTGGACCTTCCACCAAAGTATACTGAATAGTCTTTACAATGGTTTTCCCCACCTATGTGGTGTCATCACAAAGGAGCTACTACAACCGTAGAAAAAGGCAACTTTCAGTTTTGTTACACAGAATATATTCCAGGTTTAGTTTTTGGAAGGAAGTTCCATACCGGTATTGTATATGAATGAATGTGGGGTGTTTTTTTGCTAATCAAGCTATAGAACATGGTGTATATGTACGTATTTTGCAAAAAATTAGTTATAAAATATTTAGTAATATCCTTCATGTTTAATAACAGCATAACTTCTGTTATATTTTACCAGACAGAGAAATACTAAGAATATGTAGAAACCTTCCAAAGTTTCAGCAGTGTCCACTTCTTTAAAATAGTAAACCTCAACAATTGCGCTGAGTGATAAATGTTTATCGAGGCCTGCGCTCACCCCGTGTAACCCATACGACAGCTTAGACGGGAAGAGTTGAGAGACAACATACTAACCGTCTCTGTCCACGGACGTCAATACAACATAATCCAAGCCCCACTCAGCTATAGCCTTTGCTGTGTTGTAAGGCTCCTTGGGATCCAGTGGAGGTGGATTTTTTGCTGTCTTTACTGAACAAAATCTGCAACCTCTAGTGCATGTGTCACCCATCAGCTGAAATAAGAAAGACATTCCTACCTTTACATTGTACACATCACTGTTGCTCAGCTGCGAGACAGCTGCATAAGCTAGATCAGATAAATCCCAATACTAAGCAACACAACGAGGACAGTGATTTACTCTAAGTTTCTTGTAATAAACCCACACCGCTACAGTAGAGATCCAACAATACACTACAAACAGCTCAAACATTAACAGAATACTTACGAAACGGTTAATGGCTTACCATAATAGTAGCTGTAGCTGTAGCATATTCACCACCTCCCCAGCATTCTCCAATGTTGGGACAACGTGCTTCTTCACATACCTAAAGTTAAAAGACAGTAACGTACCTGTCTTTTTTCAATGTTGTTATTGAAGATTATTGTATTATTGATCAATTTCAATAGTAGCCTACGAACAAAACATAATTCCTTCTGTGATAAATGGGGAGATTAACAGATTTGCATATTGTTCTGTAAGAAGTCAGTAGAATAGCTGGGAAGAGAATTGTTTCCCGACACGCATTACCATTCTTTTCCTGTACTTCACAACTCCAAAATCTCCTCAACCACGTAACTGCCTTATTAATTAGCACAGATAGTCATTAACATTTTAAATTTAAAAATCGATAAAATGTTCACAAAGTCTATGATGCACCAAAGCACAATCTTACCCTGGGGAAAAAAAAAAAGGAAAAAAGCTCTCCATGCATACCCACCACTTCTTACCATCTGGAAGGTATATTTAATGAAATACATGTATTTCTAGAATTTCTTTACATGCAAAACATGTATGGAACTCTGAAATTGTGCGTGTTTCCATTAAAAACAGTCACACATAGCATCTTCTGATCTCTTTGGTGATGCACGTAGTAAATCCTAGTATTTAAAATCACAGCAGGAAAAACATGAAATACTCTATTTGATCCGTCTTCATTCTTTAGGGGTAAAATTCACTGCTGGCAAAAAGGATCAGCATTTGGCTTGGTTTCAGCATTGAAAATCATGCAAGACATTATTTCTACCTGTCCTCCACAGAGAAATAATTTTGTATCTGTAAAAAATGCCTTATTTCTACAGGAAAACTCGGTTGGTACTAGATTTACCGTGTGAAGATTTAAACTTCTCAAGGTATTCTTTAGTTTATTGTAGTTCTTTCCCATGGGAATCCTTGTTTTCAGCCATGGAGGAAGTCGCAGCCTGAACAACATCAAGCAAACATGAAGATCAGTATAATATTTAGATGATAAGCTTCCATTAATTTCATAGATCCGCTTTAATTTGTTACAGATCCCAACTAGGAAAGGTTCCTTGAAAACTGACGCAATTCAGCAACCAAGATTAGCATCATTCATGGTTATAATGGACTTCTCTCTTCCATGTTTATCATCATCCCAACATTCAAGAGTAGGAGTTTGTTGTCATTGGAAGGTTTAAAACGGTTAACTGTACCGGTGGGATTTAACAGTGCCACACTGGAGACTGCAACAGTTGTTAATGGCAGCGTATGTCACACACCTATCACAAAGTCTGATCAAATTTATAACTGGAAATATGGGAGAGGGTGGTGGTAAGCTTTTTTAATTTAGTCTTCATTTTTTTGTTTTACTCTATCAATAGTATTTTTTCAACACCAAAGTAGGGTACACTCACCTACTGATGTATATTTGTAATTTAGTACAGGCCATGGCACAGGCACTCAAGTGAGAAAACACCACCACGTCTTCATGTTTTGTTACACATTCATTGGAAGTTAATAATGTGTTTGTTCTTCCTTGAAAAATTATAGTCTTCATTTTTTTGTTTTACTCTATCAATAGTATTTTTTCAACACCAAAGTAGGGTACACTCACCTACTGATGTATATTTGTAATTTAGTACAGGCCATGGCACAGGCACTCAAGTGAGAAAACACCACCACGTCTTCATGTTTTGTTACACATTCATTGGAAGTTAATAATGTGTTTGTTCTTCCTTGAAAAATTATGAAATCGGCAAGCCAGTACGACAGAATTTAATAAAGATACATTGTATACATTTATAGTTAATACTAAACATGCAAGATAGTGCATGGAAGCAACCGCACTTGTTTAAAATCACAACTACCTTTCTCCTTTCTGACGCTTTAAATTGCCTTTATACTCGGCCCACGCGCCCTTGTCTGACAAATCTCCAGATACAAAGTCTTGTAAGTCTGGTCCACTTTTCAGAAACTCTTTTTTTTCCTCTGGCAAAGAACCTGATGCTCTGTACTGGTTACACACATGGCTCCCAGACACCTGAAAGAAGCAACGCTGTAATTTATTGAATTATAAATGCACTAGCATTTATATTTAGCATTATACACTAAATAACTACCTGTCCTTTTGGTGGTTAACGTACACTTTGTGTAAGCGTTTTCCCAACTGCCTTTAAGTTAAACACGTAATTCTCTTTTTCATTTTAAGTCACGTGAGACATAAAGCACGATCTCTTCCAAAATACCTTAGTATCCAGCTAAGTCACATAGTTTGGGGGGATAAATAACATTGCACGGATTAATTTGAGATTCCGGGGCTGAAAAACCAGACGTTGAGGCGATTAACCGTACGCTGCCCAGTCAGTAACCGAGGGACCCGATTCCGATGGAAACGCATCGCGCAAACCGGGTTCTCGGAAGCGGCGTTTGCGGCGGGCGGGAGCCGTGGCTGTTTCCCGGGGGCGCGTGTGCGCGCGGGCGCGGCAGCCCTCCGGCTGCCTCACG